GCGTAACACGGGGTCAGATGCAAAATGAGAAAAAAATAATAATATGGAAACGATTATCTCTTTATAACATCACAAATTCAAGTAAAAGAAAATGGATGGAAATAAAAAAAGAAACATAAACTTTATCTCTTAAGTTCAGAGTTGTAACATATGAAATCCACTTATATAGTACAAATAAAAAAATGGAAGCGCGCAAAACACAATATGAAGATCAAGTGAAATTGTTTAAAACATATGGTATAATTCTATTTCGTTGAATGCAAACTACTACACCATGTCAATCTTTTGCAAAGTAACTAACTTAACAACAAATACGGTAGCAGAAAAGTAACACAATAGATATTCAAGATAATCTGCAAGTTTATCACTAACAGCGTTCAATTAGTAATGTACATAACTAAAATAACAATACAACTTATAAATATTGCAAGGGATCAGATGTATACGCCATTATTGATACCAATGATGATACCAATACTGATATCAATACGGATACCAATATTGATACCAATATTGATAATATCGATACTAATACTGATACTAATAACGATATTAATAGTAATACTAATATTGATACTAATACTAATATTAATATTAATACTAATACTATTACTAATCGTAATCCTACAAATGCTAATACTATTACTAATCGTAATCCTACAAATACTCAAATTAATACTGATACTAATACTAATGCTAATACTAATACTATTAATAATATTGATATTACTACTAATATCAATACTAATACCAATACTGATACTAATACTAATATTAATACTAATGCTAATACTAATACTAATACTAATATTAATATTAATACTAATACTAATAGTGATACTAATACTAATAACCATATTCGTATTGATAATGATACTAATACTAAAATGATACTAATATTAATACTAATATTAACACTAGTACAAATATTAATACTAATACTAATACTAATACTAATACTAATACTAATACTAATACTAATACTACTAATACTAATACTAATACTAATACTAATACTAATACTAATACTAATACTGATATTGATATTGATACTGATACTGATACTGATACTAATACTGACATTGATACTGATACTGATACTAATATTAATACTATAATACTAATACTAATACTAATACCAATACTAATACTAATGCTAATACTAATAGTAACACTAATACTAATGCTAATGCTAATGCTAATGCTAATAGTAATGTTAATTGTAATGTTAATACTAATACTAATACTAATATTAATATTAATACTAATACAAATATTAATTCTAATACTAATACTAATATGTTGATATTGTTAATGTTAATGCTAATTTACATGTACTAATGCTGATACTAATTTTTATGTTAATGCTAATCTGAATATGCTAATGCTAATTATAATTGTAATCCAAATATTATCCAAATCCTTATCCTATTCCTAATCCTATTAATGACAGTAATTATAATTATGATCCTAATCATATTCCTAACACTAATCATAAGTCTAATCCTAACCCTAATAATTTAAATACTAATAATGCTAATGCTAATGCGAATGCTAATGCTAATGTTAATTCAAATCAAAATTCTAATCTTAATTCTAATCATAATCCTAATCATAATACATGTCACTAATTGTAGTACTAATCATAATCATAATCTTAATTGTAATTCTAATACTAATATTAATCATAATCCTTATCCTAATCCTAATAATAATTCTAATACTATATTAATCCGAATCCTAATCCTAATCCTAGTTTTAACTCTAATACTAATTCAAAGAATATCAATTATAATCTTAATTCTAATGTTAATACTAATCACATTTGCCACATGGGATGAAACTGAATACATGTCAACAATCGAAATTGACAAATGTCAATCAATTAGGTGTAGAATTCAACTTTTATATATTATATAGATGACCACCTCCATGGTTATCAAATCGTAAATCGAATCGAAAATTGTTTTAAGTCGTAACGAATCGTAAATCGTAAGATTTCTTAAATTTCATTAAAATATTCATATATTAAATGATACACATATTTATGTGATATATATATATATATATATATATATATATATATATATATATATATATATATATATATATAAATCTACAATCAAACTACAAGGTTATATGATTAATATGCTAATATTTAAAATTTAATAGTAAATGGACTATACAAAAATTTAACACAATAAAAACAAAAAGTTTAATATTAAAAGAATTTCATTTAATTTGTAGTATTTGTCAATGCATGGCAATTGACGTGTGTCCGAGTAAATCAAATATAACATTGAAAAAAATAAGAATAAAACTCTCTTGAATATACCTGCTACTTTAAAATGTATTAGAGTTGTAAAGTACAATGAAAATATTATTAATTTTAAAAAAATACAATTGCAGATGAACAATATTAAAAGAAGAAAAAATAGTCATTCTAAGATATAAAAGTGTTGATATTAAGAGACATTATCATATATTATTGTATTTGTACTTAAAATTTAATATTTTAGCACAATTTTTAATTTTATTCTGAAAATATATTTTGTTACTGAAAATCATACAAATCGTACAAATCGAATGTAAATCGTACGATTTTTTAAGATTTACGATTTATTCAACGATTTGAATCGAGAAGGATTCAAATCGAATCGAATCGTACGATTTTGATAACAATGACCACCTCAACCAAAAGCTTAAGATGCTAGTAAAATGTATCATTTAATATTAATATCTCCAACAAATATTATTATTAATTTTTTTTTTTGCCGGCAGTGGCCTGTCGGAGCTATGGTTACCTTAGTCGACATTAGTTAACTTTAACATTAGTTGACAAATGAGGTTTTTTTTTTCTTTCTTTTATCCCTTTTTTTTTTCGGCGGCAGGTTGTTGGAGCTCTGGTAGCTGACTTTGCATTAGTTGAGTTTGTGCATTAGCTCACTACAATATTAGTTGACATCCAACCGATTTTATTACATTTTTTTTGATAACTTTTTTCTTTTTTCGACGGCGGATCGTCAGAGCTCTGATTACATGACTAAACATTTGTTGACTTCAAACATTAGCTGATATGTATTAGATGATATCCTACTCTTTTTTTTATCCGACGGTGGATCATCGATGCTACGATTAACTGACTTCAGCACTCAAAAAAGTCGGATGTCATCTATGCTTATTTTGGGCACGTATGAAATATTTAGTGTTCAGAGTGTTTATAGTAAAAGGAGTAGAGGTCTATAACTAAGAGTCTAACGTTGAAAACGAGTTTAATCAATATCTATATTCTAGTAAATCCAAATTGGGTTGTTATAAGAATTCCAATTCCATAAGAATTTGTGTAAACTGGTTTTTGTGGTTTTGTTTTTCGTATAATATTCTTATTTTAATAATGTTTTTGAGTTCTAATAGGATTTAGAGACTTTCATATTTATAAATATATACGTTTTGGTCTTCACATAAATTATTGATCTCCCTCTCTCAGAAAAAAGGAAAAAAAAAAAATATTGCGCTTCAAGTTCGTGACATCAAAAAAGTTTACGCGACAATGTTTTGTTGTTTCACCGGAAGCAGTAGGAGAAAAAACAATGCTACTCCAAAGGAAGAGACGACGACGACGAAAAAGAAAGATTCTGCTCCGCCACCGAAAGTCAAGCCTTCGACAGCGGCCCGATCAGGAGGCGGAGGCACAACAACTGCAATTTCAACTCCGAAAGAAAAACACGGCGGCTCGTCGTCTAATTTGCCACTTCTCATGGGAACGTATTCAACTATCTTCATGCGCGGGTAATAATAATTCCAACGTGAATGACCAAACAAGTAATACTATAGCTAGTCATAATCATCATCATCACATTGGCAATTACGGCGGCGGCCATATTCATCATCATTTTGGCGGCGGCCATAGCTTCGGCGGCGGCGGTGGCTGTGGCGGCCATAGTCATCATCATCATTAAACTTTTTGTCGGCTAATTACGGTTTATCTTGGAATTAATGTTCCCCTTGCATCAAAGTTTTGCGTTTTTTTTTTTAAAATTGTTTTCAACCTTCAATTGACTATTATATTATCCATTGGATATTAATTATAGAGTATTTATTTTCTTCTTAATGCTTGGTTGTTGTTCTTTGTTTCTTCTACCCACAACCTTCTTTTATTTATTTTTCTTCCTTCAAATTTGGTTACACATGAAATTGAAAGAACATGAGTAATTGTAATATATTTTTTTTCTTTTTATTTGGATGATTTCAAATTTAACCAAATACCAAAAAAAGCAAAAGACAAAAGACAAGCTTATTGCATTAATTTACTACCCTTGTGAAAATCGCAACTTGGCGTTTTACCCCGTCATAAAAAAATTAGCAAATACCCACCTATATTTATTAGTCAACGGCAAAAACCTCTCTCGTCGCAAATCATGTGTCTCACTCGCGGGTTCTGTGATTTTTCTTCATTTTTGACAGAATTACCCCCAACATCTTTCTTTCTTTTTCTTTTTCTTCTTTTTCTTAATAAATTTTAATATATAATTTTTGCATTTTCTTTAATTTAAATTTATTAAATTACATATATTTATAAAGCAATATTTGGTACTTACAAAAATATAAAATTTTTATAAATATTATATGTATCTTTTAGAAAATTACAATTCAGCCCCCAACTTATTTGATTAAGTTTTTCAAAATTTCAATTTGGTCCCCTAGTTTTTTCAAAATTACAGTGCAGGTACTTCGGTCCTTTTACAACCTGGTCAATGGAGAAAATTTAAATGGGTGGAGTATGCTATCCAAAAATAAATGCATGGGATTTTTTACTAATTTTTTTATGACAGGGTAAAAATACACAGTTGTAATTTTCACAGGAGTAGTAATTAATAAGCTCGACAAAAGACAAAGAAATATGAGTGTTTATTATATGTTGATTGTTGCATGATAACGCCCATTTTCACAATGTTTTGAGAAAAGAAATACAATTTACTGGATAATTTATATTTTTTTCCTGAATTTTTTATCCAGTTATTCACCGACATTAATTTTTTTTAATATTATTTTTCTGAAAAGACTTTTTTCCAATGTTGACCGTTCGGTCAACGGCATTGATTTGTTTTTTTACATGAAATTTTATGTGTTAAACACTAATATTATTTTGTTACACATACAATAAGTTTTTTTTTTTTTTTTTTTTGCCTAATTTCTTTTTTTGATCGGCCAATATAGTAGTACTACTGTCTACCACAATAATATTAATTTAATGTTTTTTCGATATTACCATGTTCGACAGTAATATTTTATTAACAATGATTTTTCTAGAACTTTGGGTTACTAGTGGATTACAAATCTATCTTGTAAGGACAATGATTTTTTGATTTTTTTTTTCTTATTTTGACCTAAATCACCAACCGAGTTTCAGCGTCTTCTGTCATCATAATTACTGGGTTTCTTTTACAGTTTGACTAATGCAAAGGAAATTAATCAATAACAATACCCTACAAAACATAATATCGATCTATTTAAATAAGGAAATTAGTTAATTCTATATTTAAAAACACACGAGTAATGCCAACTTATATTATAGAATCCAACTTAAAACGGACTCTAAAAAGCATTCAAATATCGAAAATCAATAACATATATAAAATTGATTTCCAAAAAAAAAAAATAACATATATAAAATTCTTTATTTAAGATAAATTATATATATATATATATATATATATATGTGTGTGTGTATATATATATTTTTTAGGAAATATATATATGTATATATATATTGATGATGCTAATTACTTAGATCACTTGGGGTAGTATAGAAAACGAACTGGGAGAGCAAATGCGGGAAACTGACGGCGGAAAAAGAAAAAAGACAAATAAATAAATAAATAAATTAAAAAGTCAACGCCGAAAACCAGTATTAAGAAAAAAGTTTCGAAAAAAAAAAAGTTTATAGAAAAAGTCAAAATTGAATTTTTGTGGTAAAAATTGATTAAATTGAAGTTAAATTGGATTGGTGTTACAATTAAGAATTGGGTTTAAAGGGTTGCCAGTAATTTTGTTATATACATTAATTTTTCTTTTATTTATAATACATATTAAATGGATGGACTTATTGGCGAAAGACATATAACCCTTAAACTTATAATAATAAAGATAGTTGATCAGAGACTTATGCATAAAAACCCCTAATATAATATATCTCCAACATTTATTATTATTATTCTTTTCCGGCAGTGGCCGGTCGGAAGTCTGGTTAGCTTGTATCATGTACAAGCTAACCCGAGTTCCGACGTGCCACTGCAGGAAAAAAAATTGTTGGAGAAACTCTGGTTAGCTAACTCAGCATTAGTTAGCTTCAACATTACTTGACATTCCAGTTTTCCCTTTTTTTTTTTTTTTTAACCCCCTTTTTTTTTTCCGGCGGCGGGTGTCGGAGCTCTGATTGCTGACTTGCATTAGCTGACATCCAACCTTTTTTATTATATTTTTTTTCTGATAACTCTTTTCTTCTTCTTCCGACGGCGGGTCGTCGGAGCTCTGATTACATGAATAAACATTAACAAATTTCAAACATTAGCTGACTTCTGACTTCAGCATTAGATGACTTCCTACTTTTTTTCTTCTTCTCTGATGGCGGATCATCGGAGCTACAATTCAGCACTGAAAAAGTCGGGCATCAACTAATTCTTATTTTGGGCATGTGTGAAATATTTTGTTTTCAGAATGTTTATAGTAGGAGTAGAGAATTTACATTTGTCTATAACTAAGAGTTTAACGTTGAAAACGAGTTTAATTAATATCTATATTCTAGTAAATCCAAATCTTAATTCTTTAAATTGGGTTGTTATAAGAATTCCAATTCCGTAAGAATTTGTGTAAACTGGTTTTTGTGGTTTTGCTTTTTCGTACATTCTTAATTAAATCAATAATGTTTTTGAGTTCTAATAGGATTCAGAGACTTTCAAATTTATAAATATATACGTTTTGGTCTTCACATAAATTATTGATCTCCCTCTCTCAGAAAAAAGGAAAAAAAAAAAATATTGCGCTTCAAGTTCGTGACATCAAAAAAGTTTACGCGACAATGTTTTGTTGTTTCACCGGAAGCAGTAGGAGAAAAAACAATGCTACTCCAAAGGAAGAGACGACGACGACGAAAAAGAAAGATTCTGCTCCGCCACCGAAAGTCAAGCCTTCGACAGCGGCCCGATCAGGAGGCGGAGGCACAACAACTGCAATTTCAACTCCGCAAGAAAAACACGGCTCGTCGTGTAATTTGCCGATGATGCCGTTGCCACTTCTCATGGGAACGTATTCAACTGCCGTCGCGGCCGCGGGTAATAACAATTCCAACGTGAATGACCAAACAAGTAATACTAGTCATAATCATCGTCATCATCATCATAATCATCATCACCACATTGGCAATTACGGTGGCGGCCATACTCATCATCATTTTGGCGGCGGCCATAGCTTCGGCGCCGGCGGTGGTGGCGGCCATAGTCATCATCATCATCATTAATCTTTTTGTCAGCTAATTACAGTTTTTCTTGGAATTAAGGTTCTCCTTACATAAAAGTTTTGCGTGTTTTTTTTAAATTGTTTTCAACCTTGAATTGACTATTATCCATTGGATATTAATTATAGAGCATTTATTTTCTTCTTAATTGTTCTTTTTCTCTTCTACCCACAAACCTTTTATTTTTTTTCTTCCTTCAAATTTGGTTACACGGGAAATTGAAAGAACATGAGTAATTGTAATAATTTTTGTTTCTTTTTATTTCGATGCTTTCAAATTTAACCAAATAGCAAAAAAAGACAAAAGACGAGCTTATTGCATTTATTACCTTTGTGAAAATTGCAACTGCGCGTTTTTCCCTTATCATAAAAACTTAGCAAATGCCCCCTGTATTTTTATCATCAAAGGAGAAAACCTCCCTCATCGCTTATCGTGTGTCTCAATCGCGGGTTCTGCGATTTTTCTTCATTTTTGTTGTGTGAAATTGACAGAATTGCCCCCATAACATCTTTTCCCTTTTTTTTCTTTTTTTTTCTTCTTTTAATAAATTTTAATATATATTTTTTTAATTTTCTTTGATTTAAATTTATTAAATTATAAATATTTATAAAGCAATATTTGTTACTTACAAAAATATGAATATTTTATAAATATTATATGTATCTTTAAAAAAATTACAATTCAGCCCCCGACTTATTTGATTAAGTTTTTCAAAATTTCAATTTGGTCCCATAGTTTTTTGTAGAAACCCCAAGGTACTTCGGTCCTTTTACAACCTGGTTGGAGAAAATTTAAATGAGTGGAGTATGCTATCTAAAAATAAATACATGGGGGATTTTTGCTAATTTTTTTATAACAAGGTGAATATGCGCAGTTGTGATTTTTACAGGAGTATTAAATGCAATAAGCTCAAAGAAAGACAAAAGAAATATGGGTGTTTATATTGCTAGATATCCCCAATCCCTATCTCATGTTAAATATTTGTATGATAATGTTGGTCCCGGTATATAAAACGGGTAGTGATTTAGTAAAATGATCAAATAGATTAATCGAAATACGAAAAGATTAGCCGAGGCGAGAATACTCTTTCCTTAAGATAATATTGCCCCGCTACGGTGCTTACGGTTATTTGACAATTGTCTCCCAAGATACAACGGCTAACTCGGCATATGAGCACTCAAAATCCCGAGTACAACGAACGTTACTTTGTGGCTCAAACTCTCGAATTGAATACGGAAGAAAATATTCTACGAAGAATATTTCCGGGCTAAAGAAGGAAGAATTCCATAGAACAAAATTATAAAATTGAGTTGATTTTTTGTTGTTTTCAATCAAACATGTGGAGTTTCTATTTATAAGTTTCCAATGGTTGTGATTAATGAACACAACCCTTAGGAATTTAAACAAGTGAAGAGGTGTGGCCACACCTCTTCACATTGTTACACTTATTTGATCAAATAGGTGCCTAAAAATATTTTTTTAATTTTCATTCAAAAAATAATTTTATTTTATTAAATAAAATTCCCAACAGATAACTCTCATTTTCACAATGTTTTGAGAAAAAATACGATTTCCTGGATAATTTATTTTTTTCTGAATTTAATTTGTTGTTATTGACCGACATTGATTTTTTTTGAAAAAAACTTTTCTCCAATATTGACCGTCTGTCAACGACATTGATTTGTTTTTTTACACGAACTTTTATGTGTTAAACAATAATATTATTTTGTTACACATACAATAAGTTTTTTTTTTGCCTAGTTTCTTTTCTTGACCAATTAATGTAGTCATATTATTGTGAACCACAATAATATTAATTTAATTTTCTTTTGATATTACCGATTTCAACAGTAATTTTTTTTTATAAGAACAATGATTTTTTAGTTAACTTTGGGTTACTAGTGGATTACAAATCTATCTTATAAGACAATTATTTTTTTGAATTTTTCTTATTTTACCAAAGTCACCTAGTTTCAGAGTCTCCTGTCATCATAAATCATAATTACTGAGTTTCTTTTACAGTTTGACTAATGCAAAGGAAAATTTTAAAATATATCCCTTTTGGTAATTGACTAATTGTTAATCAATAACAATACCCTACAAAGCATAATATCGGTCTATTTAAATAAGGAAATTAGTTAATTTTATATTTAAAAACACACGATTAATGCCAACTTATAATCTTTATATAATAGAATCCAACTAAAATTCGGACTCTAATAAGCCTTCAAATATCGAATATCAATAACATATATAAAATTCTTTAAAAAAATAATAACATATATAAAATTCTCTCTACTTGAAATTCCTTTAGGAAATTTTCCAGAAAAAAAAAAGACCTGTATTTAAATAAGGAATCTATGTCCTACATGGTATATAGATAAATTAGGCCATTCTTGTTAAGAATTATATTATTATTATATTTATGGTAATATAATTCTATTAGGATTAGATAGTTCTATGTTATTATTCTATTTGGTAGCTATATATAGTTCCTTTCTCCTAGTATTTGTAATATCAATACAAAGTTTGTCTCTTCGTTCGGATCTCTGATTCTCTTCCCAATTCTCTCAGCATCTGAATTAAGTCTACACGAAACCTCGAAGAATGGAAGGAAAGGGAGCCCAGTTTTCGTATGTATTTTGCGCATCCGAGAAGAAAGAATCGTCGTCGGAGGGTATGGCGGCGTTGCTTTCCGTCTATGGCGGCGACGGCGAAGAAATGGAAGATCCGTTGGACAAGTTTCTTACCCCACCTCCCAAGGCCAAATGCTCGGAGGAATTGCAAGAGAAGATTATCAAATTTCTCGCGTTGAAAAGTACTACCGGGAGAAGATTCAACGAAGATGTTCGAAAAAGAAAGGAGTATTGCAATCCGGATTTCATGCGGAATGTTGTATTGTATCAGAATATTGACGAGATAGGATCTAGCTTCGGGAAAAACGTGTTCGACCCGCGAGGATACGACGAATGTGACTTCTATGATGAAATAGAAGCTGACATGAGTCGGGAAACCGAAAGGAGGGAGCAAGAGATGAAGAAAACTCCCAAGTTTGTTCTTGCAGCACCAAAAATTATAAGCATGCCTACTCCAGGATCGACAGGTTTCAGAGCTCGGGATCGAAGACGGAACAAAAAGTCAAAGTGGGATATGGTGGATGTTGACCAAAGGAAGTTTATATAGCTATCGAATAGAAACCAAACGCTAGGATAACCTAAGAAACCCTAATGACGGATTTGTAATTATTTTAATATTAATTATTAGAATTTTTTCATCTTATATTTTCGAGTTTGTTTTTTTCTCTAATGACCTTTATAGCAAATCAGATTTGTAAATCCTCTAGCAAAATACTAATCCATTCGAATAGTATATTTTGTTTACTCTTTCTCTTATACACATCTTCATATCTGAATTTAATTAATACAATTCAATGCCCCATATAGGTCAACTGGTTTCGGAGGTGTTAAATTGGTATAAGATCTAGGATCGAATCATGGCATATTTAAATTTTCTTCCTTTTTGCAATCCCGAAGAATTGCTAGTAAATATACAAATAAATCTCCTAGGTTTACGAAATTACTCACAGGCAGCAGAAAACAAGTTTCAAACAATCCACCGACAATGTGTTGCAGTGTAGGCAAAATCGTCCTCCCAGACCCGAAATCAGACGACCCGCCGAGTGCTGATGCAAACGCCAACCGTCAGCCACCGCCGCCGCCGCTGGCGGTGGAGAATAATGGAAAGTCTAACAGTAACAGCGAAAAGAATGGGAATACGGCGGTTAATCTGACAGTTTCGACTGCGGCCGTTAAAACCACCGTCAAGAAAACGCGCCGAAATTATTGGAGGACAATGTTCTGGTGCGGCGATGCAAACGCGTCTAATGAGAAGAGACGGAAGTCCAACGGTAAGGGTAACGGCAAAGAGGATGGAAATATGGTGGTTATGACCGGAAATGGTGGTGCTGTGTCTGCGCCTCCAGCCACCGTTAATACCCACGGCGAGAGAAATAGTCGGTGTGATTTAAATAGTGGTACTTTCGATCGGTTCTTTTGCTTTTGGAACGATCGGGGAGGTTGGGGCGGCGATTGTTTTTGCTGCGACTCCGATTGCGGTGGCTGTGATTGCGGTGGCTGCGATTGCGGCGGAGATTAAGTAATTATATCTTCGCTTGTGAACCCTAATTTTTCGAAGATTTCTTTAATTCCTGTGAACCCTAATTTTTTATTGGTGTACGGAATTAATCAAGATGTGTATATATATTTGAAGTTACCGTTTATCTTGAATTGCAGTGTTTTAATTTGTCGTTTGGTTTCTTTGATTTTAATTTACCTAACTATTTATCATAAGATTGGTACTCAACTTCCAAAAATTCACTGTAAATTATAATTAATGAACTTGTGAAAATTGGTGACATTTGAAATTAAAATCGAGTATGATATTCCGATATTAGCGAAATGGCATCAAACTTTGAAATTTTGGTTGAAATTTTGGGCCGGGGCTTCTAGTGATTGTGTGGTGGGTGAAGGTCTCGATCTTCTTTCACCATCGTCTTTTTTGGAGTGTTCTCGATCTGGCGGTGGTGGCCCATCATCATGAGTTCGGGCATCGCGCTTCTAGGTGTCGGATTTTCTGCAGTGTCTAGTTATTGGTTGTGTGCGCCCTTACGTTACTTATGGTGTTCGACTTGCTCTCCAGAGTGTCTTGCTTCTTGGTGTGAAACTCGCAAAACCTTTCGATCTTTTAATTTCTACGGAGGCAACCTTCTCATTTAAAAACTGAATTACTTAGATGTTAAATGTAGTTTCACCTTTACGTGTACCTTTACGACTTTCAATACAATATTAAAACCTGTCCAAATTTGGCAAAACTCAAAACTCAAATCTCGAGGCCGAATTTGTAGTACTTTGAATTGACGTGATTCAACTTGAAGCAGCTAGACTCGATGTTGTGTGAGATAGTTCTGCGTGAATGAGCTGACATGTCGGAAGGTCAAAATATGAAAATTCCATATGTACGAGTTGCCTTTTCCAATGAAACTTGAATCATGTTACCAGAAGATCCAACGAAAGAAATAACTAGTCTAAAAGTAATATATATATATATATATATATATATTTATTTATTGCAAATTAAATCATGCACCCATGATATCATACTTATCAAGTTCCAATTCATACTTATTTAACATCACATTTTAAGTTTTGATCATGCACATAACACATAAATTTTTTAGGTTTAAATTACACCCACACCCCTGATGTATGCTTAAATAACTTTAAGGTTTCTGTGGTATCGATAATTACACTATCCCCTTGAAACGTAGTTATAAACTCTAATGATATAATAATGCATTGGATACGTTATTACGATAGAGTTCTAACGGACTATTGGTTTCAGGAACTGGTGGAGACAACAAAGAGTTATGGGTGATTTGAGAAATATTGGGGGAGCCATGTCACCCCATAACTCCCCATAACTCTATGTTATCTCCACCACTAGCTAAACGTAATAGTCCATTAGAACCCTATCGGAATAATGTATCCAGTGCATTATCCCGTTATAGTTTCTAACTATGTTTCAGGGGGGTGAGTGTAATTATCGATACCGTAGGGACCTTAAAATTATTTAAGTATACCTCAGGGGTGTGGGTGTAATTTACCCTTATTTTTACTGAAAGAACCTTCAGCCAACCATATAGGTACATCGGGCAAACTTACACTTTCGTATAATAGTTTGCAAACTATACGAGAGATGTAAACTAGGGGTGTGCGCGGGCCATAAACCCGCGGGTTCTATAAAAATCTGCCCTCGTCCCGTTAAACAACGGTTCTTGATTTTGAAGAACCAAACTTATGGGTTTTCAACGGATTTATGATAGGCGGGTCCATGACGGGTTTGTAGTAGGACCCAACCTTTACGGGTCGAAACCCGTTATTATCTAAACCATTTTTTTTAATAATTTATAAGTTTTACGGCAGAATAATTAGAAACTAAAATGAATAACCTAAAATCTTAAATTTAAACCAAACATAAACAATTCTTAAATTTAAACCAAACATAAAAAAATTAATACAAGTATTAACCATAAAATCCATTATAAAACTATAAATAACTAATTGAGAAATTAAAAGACAATTTAAATAAAATAAATATAGCATTTTCAAGGATAACCAACGCCATTTAGCTCCATTCAACGCCATTTTCTTTCTTCTTCTTTTTTCTGCCGTGTATTGACTATTGTATATATATGATTTTTTTCCTACATTTTCTTAGAGATTTTTATAAATTTTATAGGAATTACTTCAATTATAGTTTAGTTTAATATACTAGAGATACTTTATTTGTTTATTAATATTATTAATTTATTACATTATATAATGTGAAAAAAACGATGTCGTTTTGTATGGCGGGGCGGGACAGGTTTCACGGGTATTAAAAAAAATTGAACCCGTCTTAGACCTAAATCCACGGTTCTTCACCATTTTAGGACCCAATCCTATGAATGGATCTATCCATATCGGTTCAAACGGGGCGGTTTTTCACGGGTTTGACGGATCGATGTAGCGGGTTGACGGGTCCGACTTACTCACCTCTAATGTAAACCATACTAGGCTCACAATTACAACACCTAACGACCGCTGGCATGGAGATTCGAACTCAAGTCAATTGAACAGGTTCACTTGCTTCAACCACTAGGTCATCCCTTACGCCACACATAACACATACTTTAATATGTTGAGATCGTCACAAAAGAATTTTCAATTGTGTGTCTTATCGCAGAGAATATTATATCTTGGCATCCCATCGCATGCAGTCTAAATATTTAGCAAACCAAAATGCCAAAAACTCTTCACAAAAATCGGATAGTGAAAGAAAATGCCAAAAACTCTTCACGAAAATCGGTTAGTGAAAGAAGAGGGAGGATAAATGAAGCTCGACGTGAGTGACATTAAATATGTTGGTATTTAGTATGATACTGTACTGGACATTAATACAGGTACCGTATACCATATCGATCACCGAAATTCAAAAAAACAATAACCGAATACCGAACCGAATTTTCAGTTCTTTATTTTGTCATGTACCATATTTTCGTTCACTGTGGTTCGCTATTTCGGCACCTACTATATTTTCGGTTCAATGCAGTTTGATTGGTTTACCTACCGAGTGAACACCCCTACATGATACTCTATTTGCACGGGTAATTTTGTAAATTACCTCTTGATAAATTGAAAAAAAAGAAAAAGAGATACAATGGAATAAAACATTGTATTTTATGATTCAATAGTTTTTCAATTTTTCTATTATAAAACTCAGACTTTTTTACTAGTGGATTACAAATCCATCTTTTAAGTTCAACTTGTTTCCTTTATTTCCGTATTACAAAAATGATTGTTTACTATGATTATTTTGCTATAGTAAAAAGTCGTAGTTCTTACTATGATGCGACTTCGTAACAAATGCGTAACAAAAGTCTTTTTTATTATAAATTTAATACATTTTGCTACCGTAACTGACCATAGTAAAAAGATATTTTTCTATTAGTGTTTATTAATTTTTTTTTTATTCGTTTCTTACCTAAGTCCTCTAATCAAATTAAAATTCATCTGTCCTCAGAATTTACGTTGAGTAAATATCAACCGTAAATCTGATTAAATAAAATTCATATATGATAAGACCATGAGCGGAACCAGGATCAAGTTTTAAGCATCTTATTTTATATTTTATATTTTATATTAAATATAATATATTTATCTATAACTTATGTAAGATTATGGAGAAGAAACAAAAAAAAATAATAGGTTAAAACAAATATTTACAAACACTTTTAAGAAACCAAAAGTAATATTCAAAAAATACAATACCAAATACCTAAAAAAACAAAAAAAATCTTGGCGGGTCATCAGCCCTAGCCCAATCAATGACAACTAATAAAATAGAGTCCAACTAAAATTGGGACACTAACATTCATATATATATATATATATATATATATATATATATATATATATATATATATATATATATATATATAAACCTCAAGAAAACAAGTTCCCATCCGTAGAAAAGGAGAGCAGTGTTCTTTGAATCAAAATTAATCCGGCCGACGACAATGTTTCTCTTTGTACGCCGAACCTACGGCGACGATCAGCCGCCTGCTGATGCAAACGCCGACTTTCAACCACCGCCACCGCCACCGCCACCGCCGCCAGTTTCTACAGCCGCCGTTAAGACCACGGCCAAGAAAACTCGTCGAAGCTGGTGGTCTTCAGGGAAGGCGAAGGAGATCAATTCTTCTTCGGATAAAAATAATTGGAGAACAATAATGTTTTGGTGTGCCGCCGGTGCAAAAGCCACGGCGGATCAGCCACCGCCGCCGCCGGTTGCTACAGCCGCCGCCGCGGTGCAGGAAGAGAATACTTGGGTTCTCCCGGTACTGAAAAAGTGGCCGCCCAAGGTAATGGGGCCCGATAATTCTCATACTATTTAGTTTTTTTTATATTATTTATTTTATATTAGGTTATTTATAATTTTCGTTATACCTAGTTTTATTTTTTTTTATTAACAGAATTAACACATGTTTTCTGGATAAATTTATTATGCACAACTAATTATTATATATTTTTCTTACTTTTTTTTATTATATAGTTGTGGGTATTAATTATATTTTATCTAGCAGCGATGGTTTGTATATGCTATATATCTTTAATTATCATTCATTTACATATAAAAACGTACACACATTCACATTGGTGCGTGAATGATAAAAATTCACCCGATATAATAACATATAACATTTATCGGATTTAGCATATAAAAAATGAATATATTTTAATTCGTGAGGCCTTAGGAACGAGATGTATATATATAAGAAGTTTTTATTAATTGGATACTTACTTACAAGCTCATAGTCGAACGTTTAATTATCGACAATTAGGTCCAGACAAAAAAAAATCTTTTGATTAAAAGGATTGACAATATTCTGCAATATCTAAAGTCCATTGAAAACAAAAATTTGAATTTACCTCAATTTCATTCATCAAACCATTATTTAACTCCAAATCCTTTAATCAACCAATGACCCATTTTTTTCTCTAATCAGTGCTACATAAAAAAAAAAAAAAAAAAAAAAGTTAAATTAATCCGATCAACATAGCAAAAAACTATAATTGAAAAATAAAATAACATAATTGTACATGTAACACAGTAATATACATGTGTTCACCGGTTAGAACAGCAAAAAAAAATTCACCCAAAAAAAAAATCAATGCCAGTCAATTTTGGTCAAAGGTCCGAAAATCAAAATCAATGTCACTCAATTTTGGTTAACGGCTCGACAATCAAAGTCGGGGTTAAAATTGGTCAATTGATAACTTATAGTTTAGATTGAGTTTGTTTAAAGGGTTTGGGGAGTAGAGAGTCCACCCATGGGTAAAAAATAGTTCATTATTTTTTTTCTATTTTCTGCTTTTGTTAAAAAGTAGTGGTAAATTTTTTTGAGGGCATTATTTAGCTCACTGAAATTCAAAATTAATGCAAAAAGAAAGTCCTAAAAAAATTTCATTCCTATTTTAAGATTTTGGCAAAAAAAAAAAAAAAAATCCTTAAATGCATCAAAAATTTCGTATTAGATATATCTCTGAGATAAATATGCAACTTAAATCCGAATGTACAATGCATTAAAATATCGAATTCCAATTTGCAACAACAAAAAATATTTGTTATAGTGAAAATTGATGATTTTATATGGTTATATAAATCTCCCATAAAAACAAAAAAATATGGTTACATAACTATTAACTGGATTGTGGAGTATGTATGTGCACTCCAAAACTAATTAAATAAGGAAATATTAAATCTTTAATGATATTAAACACCTAATTAAATAAGGAAATATATTTTTCTAATCTAAATAAATATCAATTCCCAACAAAAAAAAAAAAAAAACTTCCCTCAACGGAAAGAAAACAATTCTTGATTTTACACCATAATCGAGCGACAATGTTTTGCTGTCTAAGCACAAGAGGCCTCAAGGAGCGAGAATCTGACGGTGAGCCGCCTGTTGCTGCTGCAAACGCCAAGGCTCCACCGCCGGCTTCATATGGGTCTGAGGAAAAGACGCGAAATAGCAGCGGCGACGGCATGGTAAACGACGGAAATATGGTTGTTCTGGCAGGAGCTGGTGCTGGTGCTGCTGTGGCTGGGGGGGTTGCTACTGCCTCCGTCGTGACGGCGAGTCGTGACCTGAAGAGTAGCGGCGGTGGTACGGGCCTAGGATGCTGTTGTTGTTGCGGTGGTGGTGGTGGTGGTGGTGGTGGTGGTGGTGGTGGACGGTCGTCTAGTGGTTGCGGCGGTTGTGGGGGTTGTGGGGAT